GCCACCACGCCCAGCTTGAACATCCTAGTTTAGTGACACGATACACTGTAGACTGTGTCGTGTCTCCCCCGCCCCTCCACGTGGTGAGTGGCTGATGCTATGGCTCGAGGCTGCTGCCCAGCACCAGGTGGGGGAATGCAGTGCATATCAGAAGCCCGGACAAAGATCAAAATCCAAATTTCAAAGTATAATAAGTATAAGGTCTACTGACTGCATTGCTTTCACACTATCATAAAGTAGAAAACGCATGACTCAAACCCCTGTAAATCAGGGATCATCTCCATATAAAGAATTCTCACCATTCAGTAAGGAGGAGACAACCCAATTAAAAGGTGAGCAAAGGGTTTCAATAGGTATTTCTCCACAGAAGATACATGGCAAATAAACCCATTGCTCATCATAGGGCAAATGCAAATTAAAACCATACTGTCGCTTCTTGTTTACGAGGAAGGCTATAGCCGGGAAGACCCTGATGAGGTGTGCGAAGTTGAAACCACCTACACGGCTGGTAGAAAGGCAGAATGGTGAGTTCACTCTGAAAGCAGCTGGCTTGCTCCTCAGGATGCTTCCCATTACTTTTATCTCCTGGCGAGGACAGGTTTAGGCATCTGCCCAAGAGAAGCAAAGCTGTACATCCACAGAAACATCTTTCCATCAACACATGGCAACTCTCTGCATGGAGGAGTTTCGCGGTGACATTTGTGCACATGCGTATATCCTGCATTGATCATGTCCTCTCTCTCCTTCCTCCCCCAGCCTGCGCTGTAGTCCCTCATACTCCCCCTTTTACTGTCAGGCCAGATTTTATTCCACATTCAATAGGAAACATGGGGTAGTTGTCTTTCTGTGTCTGATTTATTTGCTTAACGTAATAACCTCCAGTTCCATCACTTTTTCTGTAAATGACAGGATTTCATTCCTCTTTGGGGCTGAATGATATTCCATTGTGCACATATACCATATTTTATCTACCTTTTCATCTGTTAAGGGGCACCAGGGCTGATTGACCTCTTAACTACTGCGACGAGTGCTGCAGCAAACACAGGTGGACCTGTATCTCTCCTGTATGCAGACTTCATTTCCTTCAGATGTATGCTCAGGAACGGCACAGCTGGGTCACATGGCAATTCTGCTTTTAGTTGTTTGAGGGACCCGCATACTATTTTCCATAATGACTGTGATAATTTACAATCCCACCAGCAGTGCACAGAGAGTCCTTAGTAGCATTTGTCATTTTTTATTTTCTTGATAATTGCTGTTCGAACTGACGTGAGATAGAATCTGAGTGTAGTTTTGACTCAGCCATTTCCCTGATGCCTAAAAATGTGGAGCACTTTTTCCTATATTTATTGGCCATTTCATTCACTTTTACACACGTGCATGTTAATAGCAACATGATTCGTACTGGCCAAAAAGTGGAAACAACTCAAATATTCTTAGCTGATGAACGGAAAAATACAGTGTGGTATATTCAGGCAGTGGAATATTAGTGAGCAATAAAAAGGAGTGATATGAATGAACTTGTAATGTGAGTGAACTTCGAAAATATTATGTTAAATGAACGCAGTCACAGAACACTACCAACTTGCATGATTACACTCATCCGCAAGAGGCGGAGAGCAGATTAGTAGCTGCCAGGAGTGGAAGGAGTAGGAAAGCTGGCACGAGGAGTGACCGTCGTGGGTGGGCTTTTTTGGAGATCAAACATTGGAGACTTAGTGGCTACAGTTGCACAAAGTTGTGAACGTACTCAAAGTGTTGCCTTATATATTTTAAATGGGTAAATTACGTAGGATGTGAATTATACCTCAAAAAAGTTGTATAAAAAGGACCATGTATCTCATTAACTCTTGCTGTAAAGACAGAAATCATCAGATCTGTTGGAAAGGGTGAATCTTTAGCCTCCATCGGTTGTTCTTAAGCCTTGTTTTTTGCTGGTTCTTTGATTTGTCAAGGAAGAGAATCAAAGTGTAGCTGTATTAGGAAAGATGGCAAACATGTCACCAAAGATTGTGTCTAAAAATACAGGGGTCATTGGAAATGTTACACACTTTTTATTACTAGGTGCCTTTGTTCACAGAATGAATCTGTTGTCATTCAGACATTAGTCACGTTTTCAGAATTGAATTACATATCCAGGTAGGAGCTGTGTGTACGGTCATGAGGAAGCCCCACACTCTCTTAGCCCTCTCAACTTCCCATTTCTTTTGCTGTTAATCTTTTTGATTAACATGTAGTAATTGTGCACGCTAGTGGTGTCCAGTGCGGTCTTTCAATCCATGCACACAGTGTGCAGTGATCAAGGCCAACTCCCTTTATCCACCCTGTTCATTGCTTTGATGCCAGATCCCCAAGCAAACATCTCCTAAGGAATAAGTCAGTGGGCTCCGGGAGACCAGACAGAATTATTTGGGTGACTGGGAAATTCTCACACCTGTGAAACAATTTCATAATTTTTGGTTTTATAGATCAGTCTTTTGTGAGTGTGACCAGGAAGAGTCAAGCTTGAGAAAATCGTTTTATTTTGGCTGCAAATAGGTGACTAGTAGGGACATAAATAATTGAGCCGTTAACTTCTCAAAACCGGAGTTCGGGAGTGTAGTTTTAGTTTGGTTTGTTCAGTAGCAGCTCAGTGATCTCAGGGATCCACGTCAGTTCTGCTAGGGGCTGAGAATGACATGGTGACTGCTACAGACAACCTTATTCTCCCAAAGCCTCAGGCAGGAGAAACATTGAATGGATTCTGTATTAGAATCCATTTACCTGTAACTTCAGAGTCAGCTAACAGCACGCTTGAGGTCAGTTGAGGAAGGATGCATGCAGAATTGGTGAGATTTTATGTGCATGTGTGTGCACCTACGTGTACATATGTGTGTGTTGGTGAGGATAGGAACTAGGGTCTTGTGCATATGTGAGAAAAAACTTGAGATGTACAGTAAGTATTCTTATCTTAGCCTGGCATGGTGGTTTCTGCCTGTAATCTCAGCTCTCAGGAGGCTGAGGCAGGAGGAGTGCTACAAGTTCAAGACCAGCCTGAATTGCATAGTGAGACTATCTCAAAAAAAAAAAAAAAAAAAAAAAAGGCACTCTTACAGAATGAATTTTAGGAAGTGAGGCCTTTGTGGGGTGATTAGTTCGTGAGGGTGGAACACTTGTGAGTGGGATTAGTGACCTTGAAAGAGTCTGGAGAGCTGCCTCTCCTCCACCACCTGCAGCCCCAGGACAAACAGGGCCATCTGTGACCCTGAATCTGCTGGCAACGTGGCCTTGGTCTTCCTACTTCGTGCAAACTAAATTCTGTTGCTTGTAAGACAGCTAGGTCATATCCTAAGAGACATTCTCTGCTGGGGTTGAGCCAGGGGACATTGCTTTCTTGGTTTAGCTCTCATTTGACTATAATCCAGTGGACGGTCCATTTAGAGTCACATTTTTGAAGTTTTGGTTGAACAGTCTCCGAGCACTGCGCTACAGTGGCCCCTCGTATTTCTAAGCCCGGGAAGGCTGAGGCAAGGGTTCCAGCGTTGCTGGCCACGAGTTCAGTGTTAGTGACTCAATGACAAATACTAAGGAGGCATTTCTAAACAGAGATGCACGTAAGACAAGGTGGTGATCTGACTGCTTGCTGAGAAAGCTGTGACCAGAGGCGGGCAGGAACCAAGCCCTGCTCTCACCCTACGGGCAGCGTTTCGGTATTCGCACTTCAGAGCTGACAGAAACAGGGCACAACTACCACGGCTGAAAACATCCACCACCTCTCAGGATAAGCACCGTACAGCGAAGAGAGAGGAAACTGGCTGCAAGTGATGTGTGCACCATCTGCTTTTTATAAGTGCTCAAAGAAGTCTCCTGGCGAGGGGGTGACAGTGGAGCTAAGATCGAAAGGGTAACAAAAACTGGAGGCAGGGAAGCGTGTGTCACGAGTTCTAGTACAGCTCTGGGATCATGCGGCGGGCCGAGCTCCAGAACCACCCTGGGCTCACTTCGCTTGTTTCGATATGCATTTGTTTATTAAATGACCACGTCTTGAAACTGCAGCTGTGAAGAAACCTTAGCAGGGATTTTTCCTGGGACCTGGATGGCCCCAGGACTCTGGCCCGTGCTTGCAGGATGGGGGACAGGCCCGTGCTGGGGAAGCCTCGTTGGCGTCCCGGTGCCCTGCTTGTGGCAGGAGCTGGCGGGAGATCAGACGCTGCCGCAATTCCAAGTAGCTCAGGAACAAAGGCTGTAAAGTTGCTAAGAAACCCGCTCTTCGGAGTGTTCACCTGGCTTGTTTGTTTGTTTGTTTGTTTCCATGGTGGTGTGTGAGTGTGAGGGTGCGCACACCAAGGGCTGTCACCCTGCCAGCCCTGAATGCAGCCATACCTGAAGGGAACAATGGCACACCGTCCCGGGGCACGCCATGGGCCCTGGGGATCCCCGGGCTGAGCCGCCCAGGCGCGCCCGGTGAACAGAGCGGAGCCAGCTGCTGCGGCCAGAGGTGGGTAGGGCAGAGCGCAGCTGCAGGAAGGAGGCCTTGGGTGCCTCATGTGCTGCCCGCTCGCAGCGAGGGCGGCGAAGCGCTGGGATGGAGGACCGGAGCCTCGGCCCTGGGAGCGGACCCGCCCCCGCCGAGCTGCGGGAATAAATCCTTGCCAAGGCCGCGGCTGTTGCAAAAATCCTAGATGCCAGATTCGGAGCGCTGTGCCTATCTGGGCTGACCCGATCTAACTCGCCGCCCTGTTCTGGTGTGCGAATCAGCGCGTAGGGAGTGAAGGGCGCTTTCTCAAGGGCGACGGGCAGCGGATGGGGGCCCTATCTCTGCGAAAGGCCGTGGGCTGTGAAAGCAGGAAGAAAGGCCTGAAGTAGATATGAAACTGTATCACTCATCCCGTTTTCGGTTCACCCAGTGCTTATCCAGCCCCTGCCAACTTCCAGCCCTGATCCCAACCGAATGCAGAGTAAAGGAGAATCTAAACTTTGAACCAAGGATCAGCTTTTCTGAGTTTGTTTTTTTCTTTCTTTTTTTTTTTTTTTGGTTTTTCTCCGGTACGGGAACCGAACTCACGACCTTGCGCTTGCCAGGCAGGCGCTTTGCCGCTGAGCTAAATCCCCAGCCCCCTGAGTTTGTTTCTTAATAAATACGTCAACCGCAACCACCAGCCAAACGACCACCATGGCGTTTCCCATCCCTGGGTTCTGCTGTCACGGGCAGGCCTGGGAGCAGGAGGAGCTAAGGCGGACAAGAAGCGTCATCCCCGCCCCACTCGAGGGAGGAAAGGCCTTGCTGCCCAGCAGCACCAGAGGACCAGGCAGCCTGGGCGTCTTCAGACGCCATGCTCCTCTCTGCCCCGTGTGCCCAGCGCCTCGGACTGGGTACTTCCCAGCTCTGGACGAGAGTCAGGGGCACATCTGCTGCTGTCACTCGCCAGTTTAAGTTCCTGTTGCTCCAAAAGTAAAGAGCCGCAAGGCCCAGTAGGGCTTCCACGTACCCTGCGCTCCGGTCCTCCTCCTCCCTCCCCGCTGTTCCAGCCCCTCTGGCCCTGACAAGGGTCAGCCCTCACTGCAGGCCCTTGGCTCGTTCTGTCCCTGCCGCTGGGACGGCGCCCTTGCTCTGCTCCTTTTCTTTAAATCCTAGTAAGAGTTTAACCTTTTTAAGGATATAACATTTTTGGAAGAAAATATAGATAAAAATTTATCGTATTCCTCGGTGCTGAACATTTTTTCTTTTAATTCTAAAGAGAAAAGAAAACAAAATAACAACAAAGATAAAAACAAAACAACACAAAAACAAAACCGATACAGGATTTCAAAACAAGATGATAGGAATTAGCAGTGGTTGTTACATTACATATTGTTATCTTCCACGGAATTGTCCAGATTACCAGATGTAAGAATGCAAGATTGATCAAACCATTAAAGAGAATAAAAAGTAATAAAAAAAACCATTAGAAACGATACAGAGCTTCACTAAACAAGATGGTAGGAATTCAACAGTGGTTGTTACATTGCATATTGTTGTCTTCAAATTAGTTGTTCAGATTCCCAGATATAAGCATGCAAAATTGGTAAGAAAAAGATTTAAGCATTAAGTGTTCCTTTCAATAAACCAATAGACATCAGCAGTTGAATTTGAACATTTTTTCAAACAAAACAAAATCTGGCTTCTTTCAGTTAGCCTGATGTTTTCAAGGTTCATCTCTGTTTTAGCATGTATTAGTCTTTTATATGTTTTAATTGCTGAATAGTATTCCACAGTGTGGACATATGCAGATGGGACATCTAATTGTTTTTTTACTTTTTTTTTTTCTTCCGGTACCAGGAATTGAACTCACGACCTTGCGCTTGCCAGGCAGGTGCTGTGCTGCTGAGCTAAATCCCCAGCCCCCCAGAACATCTAATTGTATATCCAATTTGCATTTCCCTAGTGACTAATGTTGAAAGCTTCTCATGTACTATTTGTATATAGTTCATGGCTATTTGTGTATCTCCTCTGAAGAAATGTGTTTAAATTTTTGTTCCCATTTTAATTAGGCTGCCTTTTACTATTGTGTAAGAGTTCTTTATAGACTGTGGACACCAGGTTCTTGCCAAGTATATGATTGGAGAATATTTTCTCCCTTTACAGGTTGTCCATTTACTTTCTTTCAAGGAAAAACTTTTGGTTTTATTATTTTTTTTCTAATTACCTGCAATGATTTCTGCTCTAACCTTTATTATTTTCTTTTTTCTGTTTCCATTTAGTTTACTTTTCCTTTTCTAAGTGAAGGTGAAACACTGGATTCCTGATTTAAATCTTTCTTCTTTTTATTTATTTATTATTTTTTAGGTTTTTTTTTTTTTTCCCGGTTCTGGGAATCGAACTCATGACCTCACGCTTGCCAGGCAGGCGCTGTGCTGCTGAGCTAAATCCCCAGCCCCTCTTTCTTCTTTTTAAATGTACACATTTCAGCTATATATTTCCCTCTGTGCACTGCTTTTCTGTGTACTCCAAATTTTGATACGTTGTATTTTCATATTCTTCTATCTCAAGTTATTGTGGCCATTCTAGCTCCTTTTTAAAGTTACTGCTTGTATGAAATATCTTTTTAATTTTCTAATTTCCAACTTTATTTTTTTTGTCTTTTTGAGACAGGACCTTGCTATGCAATTCAGGCTGGCCTTGAGCTCACTTTGTAGCCCAGGCTGGCCACGAACTTGCAATGATCCTCCTGCCTCGGCCTCCCCCACAAGTGCTGGGATTACAGGCGTGCGCCACCATGCCTGGCTACGCTAATTTCTAATTTACATGTGCCCTTGAATCTAAGGTGGGGGTTTCTTGTAAACAGCTATAGTTGGAACATTTAAAAAACTCATTTGGCCAACCTATATGCCTTTTGTATGGAAAATCCAATCCATTTCCACTTAATGTAATTACTGAGAAGAAAGGATTTACTTCTGCCATTTTAATGTGTTCTGTTTGTTTTTCTGCCAGTGCTGGGAATTGAACCCAGGGCCTGTTGCATGCTAGGCAAGTGCTCTAAGACTGGGCCCCCTTGTACCTTTTACGTTTCCCAATTCCCCCTTTGGTTTTATTGTGCTAAATAGCGAATTCCTAGTGTGCCATTTTATTTCTTTTTTTAGTTACTGTATGTATTTTTGATTTATGTTCTCCACCATTGCCCTAGGGATTACAATTAACATCTTATTTAAAAACATTCTAGTTTGGATAACGCCAACTCTATGTTAGTACTTCTTCCCCTCCTCCCTTGTGCGTTTATCATATAAATCACATTCTTCTTCATACACTGTGTTTCCATCAACAGACTGACTTGGGCAGTTTTCTTTTGAATCAAATAGGAGGAAAAAGGGAGTTACGGACTTGTATCTAGATATTCCCCCAAACATGTGCTCATAGGTGAGCCTTTTTGGAACTGGCTGGATCTAGGGTTTGTGATACCGGGATTAAGGGTGTGTGGTACTAAGTCAGCACATTGATAGGAATTAGCATAGTTCTGGGTGGTGAGTGGATTTACTGAGATAGAAGCCCCACCCTGGGTGTAGGTGGCACAAGCCAAAAGGTCTGGGGCCTGGCTGGGATACAAGAGAAAGGTAGAGACACTGCTGCTGCTGCCTGCTGCTTCCTGCCTGCTTTGCTGTGGACTTTTTTTCCTCTGTGATGCCTCTGCCCTGCCGCCCTGCTTTGACGCCAGAGGATTATGGACTGAACCCTCTACAAGCTGAGCTGAAATAAACCTTTCCTCCTCTAACTTGTGGGTGTTGAGTATTTTGTCTCAACAATGAGAAAAGTAACTAAGACAGTGGGTTACGAAGGAAAACTCCATTTATACTGTCTTCTATATTTACCAGTGTAGCTATCTTGACCAGTACTTCCTGTTTCTTCATGTGGATTTGACTTACTGGACTTAGACAGCCGGAGGCACCGAGGGCAGCTGCCTGGGAGACGGAGGAGGACAGAGGACAAGGTCGTCCTTGCATCCCTCCCTGTTGCAGCGGTGGTTGCAGTTTTCTTCCTTCAGTAGCAGCTTCTGCCGGGAGGCCCTCTCCCCAGTTTTGCTAGTCCTCCGGCGCTTCACGCCTCCTGCTTGTTTTCTTAACCCCAGCCATACTTCTCAAATAGCCCTTTGTCAGACTCCGTTGCCCCTAGTGGGGGGCTTCATGCCAAGACCTTGGCTGGCTGTGCATGACCTGTGACCTCCCTGCTAAGGCCAAGGTCTCATGCGTCCTCCTCCTTCGCAGCACTCCCCGGGACCCTAACTGTACACCTGCTGCAATGACTCCGTGACTAATGTCTGTTCTTCCTGCTAGGCTGTAAGCCCTGCGAGGACAGAGAGTATGTGCGTTTTGGCTCACGCTTGTACAATCTTTAAGTTTCTAGCAGAGTGCCTCTCATACAGTAGGTACTTGATACGTTTTTACTGAATGAATAGTTAATTTTTTGTATTACTGGATTCACGAATTCTTAAGAGGATGGGGACACACAGGTACAAAAGGCTTCAAAAATCATACCTCCCTGCCTGTCTACAAAGCTCTAAATTGGAAGTACTGAGGACAACAGGGGAGCAGGGGTCCTGAAAACCTGGGTTGTCACCACTGTCACTCTGAGTCAGGAGCTTCTCTGGGCCTGAGACTTCATATCTGTAAAAGCAGGAACTGGAAGTGGCATTCTCAGGGTCTGAGGACCACTAAGACCCTCTCTGTCGTAGGCTTGGACCTGGCTAGAGTAACCCGTCTCCAAGTCAGGATCCACAGCGCCCTCTGGTGGTATCTGAGTGACAAGACAGGGTAGCTTTTGCAATGGTTGCCCCGACCCTCCCAAGACTCACCCTGGGGACCACAGGCGAAGCTCCAAGCATCAGCAAAAATCTTGTCACTCTATTGTGAGCTGAGGCCTAGATGGCGGTAGGCCTTGCACAACCTCTCCCTCCCTGTGCTTTTCGCAGAGGTGGGCGAGCCAGTGTTTTTTCTACAACCTGGTGTTAGACAAACCTAACTCAACAGCATAGAAATGTTTGGTCAATGAGTACTTGTGGCTAATGGGCAAGCATCAGAGTGAGTTAAGCTTTTTCATAATGTCCCTGCTTTCCCAAACTCCCTCGCTCCTGGATGTGGTCTCTAAGAGCTCTGTGGGCTGCCCCTCAGAACTCTTTGAGGTCACTGCCTTCAGCTCCTACAACACAGGAAGCCCTTCCTGCCGCAGGGCCTTTGCACAGGCTCTGCTAGGAACTCTCTTCTCCCAGTGCCCTCTCAGTTCAGGCTCCCTCCTCTTTTGGCTCACTGGTTATTCTGGCTGTGACACACACTCCAGTCTCTAAAGGAGCTCTCTTAGCCCTACTTGCATGTGCAGTCATCCTGTAGCTCTAGGCCAGCCCCTAGCAGTGCGTTTTCCCCAGTTCCTGGCAGAGTGCCTGAGTATGGAGTAGGTGTGCAGTCGGGAGGAGGAGGAGGAGGGTAGCACGTGGCCAGGAAGACACCAGAGACCACTTTAGAGAAAGTCTGCAAGTTTACTCAACAGTGCTCACAGTCACCGTCACATAGAGGAAGTCACTGCTTCACAAAGGCTCACTTTCCCAGGCGGGAGGAGAGAGGCTGGTGGCCTTCAGCTTTCTGTACATCATTTGTGCCTGAATTCCCCAAGCTCCCCCGCCTGCAGTGCCCAGGGGCCCCAGCCTTCAAGCCAGCAAGCCAGCAGGGTGCACGGCAGAACCAAAGCCAGTCTGGGTGCAGAGTTTAAGATGACCTTGTCCCTTGCGACATGGGTCCCACTCCCCCACAGGTGGCAGTGGGCCTCGGCTCAAGATCACTTTTAAACTAAAGCATTACTTGGATTTTTTTTTGCAGTCCATCAGTGAGGGAGATAAAGGATTCCAGAACAGAACTGCAGTCCTTGTGCCCCATCTGTTCTTGACCTTCTAGAAATTATGCCGGATCACCCAGCCCGAACAAACCAGGGACCACTGAAGCCAGGAACCCCAGTTTCTCGGTTACTACTGTAGGTGCTTTGCTATTCTTCTGAGGCTCGAGAGACTAGAATAATGGAGATGCACAGAAAGAAATCTGAAGCCATTTTCAAGGACATCACCTAGTTCTTAAACTGAAGAAGACATTCAAAAAGATAGGCGTTCTGAAGAGTGAATGTACTGCGGACTTTGGAAATCTATGTGGTGCATCTTCCACAAAACTGCTTTTTCTCTCTGGCCCTAACATCACATGCCTGCTCAGGTCTCTTCTGTGGATTTTCCCCCTTCTGCCTCTGAGCTAGTTCTTCCTGAAGGGAAGAATCAATAGTTTCTGGACTAGTTTTCACAGTTGAAAGCTCGAAGTGGAGGCACAGGACAGAGTGCTTTTCATATATGCACCTGCAAACGCGAACATCTCCAACGGCCTTGCACTTACAAGCATTCCTTGCATTCTCAACGCTTCTGGAGGACTCCTTTGAAAGGCGGGTCACATGGTCACCATACCTTTAGTCACATTCAGTTTTGTGACTTCCTCCAAATAAGTTTTTGAGGAAAAGGGGCTCATCCGCTCACCTGTTACTTGGCTAGTGGCATCTCTACAGGCTCCAGGCTGAGTTTTATTGAGTATCAGCGGGGATAGGAGCAGAGACCTGAATCCTTGAGACAGGTGGTTTCCAAAAATGAGGTCAAAACAAGGGGCTTAGTATTTGCAATCAGTCAACAGAATTGAACAATAAAATTCTGCCCTGCGTGGTCAAGGGTCAGAACCTAGTGGTGAGAACTCCGCAAGGACAGACACCGGAGGTCAGCGGATGCGTCCAACTCTGTTTACAGTGTGAACCAGACCACAGAGGAGAACCCAAGGTCAGGGAAGAGGAAGGTCTGCGCTCCTGCAATCCACAGGAATCCTGATCTTGCTGAGAATGCTGCCACCCGCTTGGAGGAGACCGTTTGGAAATCTAGCCCGCACGCTGTACATTTTAACCCTAATGGAGAAGGACAAGTGGTACACTGCTTGGAGCTCGGAATGGGGTACCACAAGCGTGGCCCCCAACAGGGCTCAAAGAGGCAACACACAGCGTGCTTTCAGGGGCTTCGGAGGCCCTTGAGGCCATGGACTAAAGATGCTGCTGAGCCGCCCTTCAATTTGAAGTGTCCCTCACCTGATGGGTACAACTCTGGCTTCTGCCCTTGGGGGCCACTCGGTCTCAGACCTTGGTCTGGGTCCAACACCTCCTGCTTGCAGCGAGACACGGAGAAACACACTCACCCGGTAGGAACTGCACACACCACCAAAACTTTCCCCTCCCCCTGCCCCACCCCTGTACGTTTGTCGAGCAAGGCACTAGGAAATGGTTCAAGTTTAGAAATTTGCTGTACATTTGCATTTTTTTCTTTTTTTGTTAAAGGCACAGTTTTTACTTGAATGATGCTGCATTGCGCTCTGATGATTCAGGTCCCCAAATCGCAGTGCTCTGGTTATCCTCATTCTAGATTCTAGAAGGAGCCCCATCTTTTGAGTCCTTTCCATGGGGGGCCGCTTCTGGAGGTATAGCACTCATCTGGGAAGAGGCAGGAGGCCTCAACAAGCAAACTCTGCAAGCGCAGGGCTGCAGTGGGAGTGGTCCTTTGCCGGCTACACATCCAATCTGGGTGGGGGTGGCCAGGGACGGCGATCCCTCCCTTTTTCCCTCCCCGATAACGGATGGCTTTGAGATCAGCCAGCATCTCCGAGGCAGATTTGTGGCTCTGGTTGCAGATTTATGTCTCAGTCACTTAATGGTTAATGGTACAACCAAATGACCCAACTCTGATTGGAATACTGATTTCAAGTACTTTCCGGGCCAGCTGGTGGAACCTATCGTTGTGAAATGTGATTTTCACTTCTGAATCAGCGGGTGGCGGGTTGGTACAGAAATGCGATTAGTTTGGGAACCCTCTGGAAGCCTGATGTGTAATTAAACAGTGAAAGGTAAACGTCAAGGGCTGGCATGGAGCTGGGTGTTCCTCTGGTCGTGGGACATCGGGTTCCCTTCTCCACTCACATGAGGCTCCAGGGCCCCTGTCTTTGCTGAGACTGTGTGGTACCAAAGCCTCTGGTGTCAAGTGATCGACAAAGGTCCCCCACCACTCCCTTCCCAAGGCCTCTCACCTTGGGATGTAGAGAGCCTCTGGGCCTGGGGCTGCCCTGACTGTGTGACACCTGGCTGCTGCTTGAATCACAGCATTCTAGAAGCCCATTCGCTAGAATCCTATGGAACATTCTAGTCTGTGATGGAATCACAGAGTTCTTGAGAAATGCTAGAGTTCTATGAGAACTAAAGCCACGGTGAAGCCAGAGGCTTTGTGTCTTGCCTGTGGCCCATCGCCGAGGCCTCCACCCTCTGGGAGGTGAGCACCTCGCGGCACCCCCGTTCCTCTCCGGAGGCGGGGAGCTGCCTCGGAGAGAGCGAGAAAGACATGGAAGCATGGATCAGGGGAACCCACACAGCGCGGCTGGCTGGGAGGGCCACTCGGCCTTCCCCATGGGCCCAAGGCCACTGCATGAGCCCTCAAAAGCTGGTGGCCGGACTGTCCTTCCTTGTGTCTGGAGAGTACTGGAGTGGGCATTTCAAGTACCCAGAGAGCCAGAGGGGACATCCCGAGTGCCCATGGCTGCAGCGGAAGGTCTGGGGCCCTCTCCTGACCCACACCTGGCAGGTGGCCAGTGCTCAGGTGTAAACTCTGAGGGTTCCAGGTGTGGCCACAGACCGAGGTCCGTGGGACTGAGAGAGAAGGCCGAAGCTGGGCAACAGTGACAGTCACCCCGGCACAGGCAGGGACCAGGAGGCCCAGGGAGGGTTTCTCTTCCGTCTGGCGCAGGTGGTGCCTGGTGCTAAAAGCTGCCCCTGGCAGGCAGACTTGGCCTTTATCTCTATCTCTGAGCACTGTTGTGTAGGAGAGCCCCCGCAGGGCTGGGCAGCAGGGCTGCACTCATCTTTGGGTGGCCTAGGGCCTCCCTGGGATTCCCCCACATACCGCGCAAGGGGACAGGGTGACCAAGCTGGAAAGGCCTCCCCGGTGGGAGTTAGAGCAGGCTCTGCCTCCCGTGGGCGCTGCTCTCACCCTGCCCCCCACTCAGGACTGCAGAACAGGCGGTCCCCGGCTCCCGCCTCGGCAGCCCTCCTCGCCCTCCACCCCCGGCCAGCACCGTGACGCCGTGCGCCCACAGGACCCGGCCTCCCCGGGAGAGAAGGGCCGTAGTGAGTGCCGGGGGCCCACTGGGCCCGCCGAGGGGACTGCAGCATCAGTTCCTGTTGAACTTCTCCAAGACTGTTGAGTTGGTGTGTTCAAACAGCCACTGCTGGGTGGCGGAGGCCGGGTTGCAGGTGTTCATGAAGATCCGGTGGTCACTTTCACTGCAGTCCACGCAGCTGCCACTTACAGGGTGGAACAAGGTCCTGTCCTGTAAAACACGGAGGTCATCAGGCAGGAGGCGCCGGGGACGGGAACAAACAACAGCAACAGTCACAGGAGTGAGGAAACAAGGAAGCCGCTGGCCAGGCAGGGCTCCCGCTCCTGGTCCTCCTCCCGGGCACGTGGCCAGGCGCTGCCCGGCCTCCCCTGCGGCTCATGTTGCCCTGGGACTGCCTTCTGACTACTGGGCGTGGGCAGGAGTGACCCTCGCTGCTTCCGGTCTGGGCCTCCACGCTGCCCGCCTCCAGCCAAGTTTCACTGGTCCTCGGTATAAGTTTTGCTTTCCATTTAAATGCTCTCAGTTGCCAACATTTGAGATTTCACATAGAAATGTGAATTCCTGGCTCCTCTTGAGCACCAGGAAAATCGGGAAACAAATGAACGAGGGGGAGGGCTCTGTGGGAAGAAGCAACGAGGCGATGCATTGTTTAAAAAAGAATTCAGTGCTGGGAATGCAATTCAGGGCAGAGCGCTGGCCTAGCATGAGGCAGGTGCTGGGTCTGATCCCCTGCTCAACAAAAACAAACAAAACCACAAACAAAACCATGCCGCAGGTGGCCCTGCTCCCTGCCCACGGCTGGCCTGACTTACTTTGCGGTATTTCCACAGCTGGTTGCCCTTCATGCTGTGGCAGTCGTACAGGGTGACAGGGCTGGTGTGGGAGATGGCGTCCAGGCAGAACTTCTTGGTGTGCTGAGGGTCTCCCGGCCGGATGTCCTCTCTCCAGGTGAAGGTGAACACCTGTGCACACGGGGACAGCAGGGGAGTGGTCGTGAAGCCCTCTTTTTTCTCCTTTTTATTTTATTTTATTTCTCTGGTACCGGGAATTGAACTCACGACCTTGCGCTTGCCAGGCAGGCACTGTGCTGCTGAGCTAAATTCCCAGCTCCTTCTCCTTTCTATTTTAAAATGATGGAAAATTTGAAACAGTCTATGGGCCATCCCTCCTGTTCTCATCAGCCAGCTCCTGGCTAGTCCTGCTCCAGCCCTACCCTGTCACCACCCCTACGCACATCCTTTTGAAGCAAATCCCAGTCAGGTCTGAGCACTTCAGCAAGTGCCACGGTGGTACGCTGTGATGAGGTCCTCCTGTCATCCGGTGAGCAGAGCTGAGGACTCTCGGATTGCCCTGTCAACTTCTTTTCACATTCTGCTTGGCTCAGGGTCCAGACTGGGCCTATATACTGCATTTAGTTGAGAAGCTTTTTTGTCTTTCTGTCCCAGAAGCTTTGTTGAAGAATAACTGGCACACAATAAGCTGCATGCATTCAAGGTGTACAGTGTGGTATATGTGTCAGTTACCAGGACTGTCGACTTAGCTGGCTTGGTAAAGCACATTTCTGGGTGTGTCTGCGTCTGTGGGGTCAGGAAGGTGTGACGTCAGGTACTATATCGGGTCCCCGGCCCCTTTCCCCTGCTCTGCTTCCAAGCTGCCATGAAATAAGCAGCTTTATTCCATCAGGCCCTTTTGCCATGGCATTTCTGCCTTGGAGCCAGCTGACCATGAGCTGAACCTCCGGAACTGTGAGTACCTGAGCTGCTTCTCCTTTAAGTTGTGGGTTTGAGTATTGTGTCTTAGTAACGGAAAAAGTGACCAGTGCAGTCTGCTTTGACATATATTTCTACCTAAGGCCAGCATCACAATCAAGGGAATGAACACAGCCACCACCCTCAAAGTGTCTCCATGCTCCTTGGAAGTGTTCTCCTCCTGTCCCTCCTCACCATGAGAGATTCGCTTACCGTTTCTAGAATTTTAATATGAGAAGAATCATTCAGTATGTGTATTCTCTTTTCTCTTTCTTTTACTCAGTCTACTTTCACTGCAATTTGTTGTAGTAGCACATCTGGCTTGTTTCCAGTTTTTGGCTATTTACAATTTTTTTGTGTGTCTTTTTGAGACAAGGTTTCACTATGTGATTCAGGCTGGCCTTGAACTCATTATATAGCCCAGGCTGACCTCAAACTCACAGCAATCCTTCTGCCTCAGCTTCCTGAGTGCTGGGATTACAGGTGTGCATTTTGACGTTTACAAAGAAAACTGCTATACACGTAGGTGTACAACCCTTTGTAGGGGCATATTTTCTTTTCTTGGATAAATATCCAAGGTTAGAATGGCTGACTCACATAAGAGATCAATGTTTTATTTTCTACGGAACTGGCAAACTGTTCTTCAAGGTGGCTGTCACTGCTTGCCCAGAAGCATGGCCCGGGCCAGTCTTTTTATAACAGGCACGTGGATATATTATTGTCATTTTCATTTCCGTTTCTCTAACAACTAATGAAGCCAAGAATTTTAATGTTTTTGCCATCCCTTCTTTGGCAATGTATCTGTACGAATCTTCTGACCATTAATTATTTTTCTTTTATTATTGATTTCAGAGAGTTCTTATATATTCTAGAAACAAATCTTTTATCATATATATGCTTTACAAACATTTTCTCCCAGTTTGTGGCTTGACTTGTTACTTTCTCCACACTGTTTTAAAGAATTGTTTTTCATATCGAAGAAGTCCAACTCAATTTTTTTCTTTTGGTGTTACAGTCTTGATGTTAGATTTTTTTTGGGGGGGTACTGGGAATCGAACTCAGGACCTTGTGCTTGCCAGGCAGGCACTGTGCTGCTGAGCTACATCCCTGCCATATTCTTGGTGTTGTGTCTAAGAAATTATTGTTTCACTCAAGATCATGAATCCCTTTGGTTGTATTTCCTTCTAAGAGCTTTTTATTTTAAAAATTTTAGTGCATCTAATTTTATTTACTTTTATTAATTTTATTGGTACATCTTAGATGTACACAATGATCACATTCATCCTAGGAAATCTGTACCTAGGTGTACATGAGAGATCTTGATTCTTCTTTTTTTCCGTTCCCCTCCTCTACCGTCAACCCCTTTTCCCCTTCTTAATTACAAAAGCTTTGTTTCTACTTTTTCCTTCTCTTTTTTCCCTTTCCTTTGCACTTCCTTAGTTCCCATTCTAAGAGCTTTTTAAATTTAGATTTTATGTTTAAGATAATGACCCATTTTGAGTTAACTTTTGTATACGGTATAGGTATATACTGATTTCCTTTTTGCATATGGATATCCAATTTTTCCAGGACCATTTGTTAAAAAGACTATCTTTTCATCATTGTACAGCTTTTATGCCTGTGTTTAAAGGAAATCAGTTGTCTTTATAAGTGTGGATCTACTTCTAGACTTTATTTTGTCCCACTGATTTTTTAAATGTCAGTATTACACCACCCTGAGGGTTATTGCCTTACAGCATAACTTGAAATCAGGCAGCTTTAGTCCTTGAACCTTGTATTGTTTTTTGAAAGTTGTTTTGACTACTCGAGGTCCTGCACATTTCCACATGAATTTTAGAGTCAGTCTTTCCATTCTATAAAGAAGTTTATTAGGATATGAGACGTGTTGGATTTACATATTGGTTTGGAAATAACTGATATCAGTTTGAGTCTTCCTATGAACACAACATATATCTTCCTTTTATTTAGACCTCCTTTAATTTTTATCAGCAATATTTTATAATTTTCAATATTTTATAATTTTCAATAATTTTATAATTTTCAAATAAATTATAATTTTCATATTTTATAATTTTCAAATTTTCTCTCAGCCACAGGATTTTCATCATAATATACCTGAGTGATATTTTCTTTTTTTTTTTTGTTTTGTTTTTCTCCGGTACCAGGAACCGAACTCACGACCTTGCGCTTGCCAGGCAAGCGCTTTTGCCGCTGAGCTAAATCCCCAGCCCCCTGAGTGATATTTTCATGTTACAGAAAATGCTTGCTTTTAACTTTAATTTCAGATTCTGTACACTTAGTATAAAAATATGATTGATTTCTGTGTCTTGTAACTTTGTTAGATTCAGTTATTCGTTCTAGAAGCTCCTCTGTAGACTCAACAGAATTTTCTACATCCATTCTCATATAGTCTATAGATAGTTTTCCTCCTCCCTTTCCCGTTTGGATGTGTTTATTTTACTTTCCTTGCTGAACAGGTTAGAGCCACTAATTCAGTGTGAAGTAGAAATGATGGGACTGGGCATCTCTTTCTTAGGAGAAAGCATTTAGACTTTCAGCATTAAGCGTGATGTCAGGTGCTTTCTGGATTAAGTTGAGGAACTTCCTTTTTACTTCTGGTTGCCAGGAATGGATGTTAGGTTTTTTTAAAAATGCTTTCTCTGGGTGTACTGAGGTATTAATCTGCCTTTTCTTTTTTAGTTTTTTAATATGGTAAATTGTATGCATTCCTGAGACAAATTACACTTACAATGTATTGACCTTTTACACCGTCGAACGCAACGTTCTAAAATTTTCTCCAGTGCCTTTAATCCATGCCCATGACATGTCGGTGTACGGCGGGTCTTACAACGTTTTAGTCTGGTTTGGGGACGAGGGTAACGCTGGTCTCACAAGATGACTTGGCAAGCACTCCCTCCTTTTCTGGAAGCATTTCTTTCTAGACTTGGCCAAGTCTCCTCACATGTTTGGTAGATTCTTCAGTGAAGTCACCCAGGCCTGGATTTACCTCAGACGCCACGTCCTGTCTGGCTCTTCCCCATGAGGGTCAGCAGTTACAGCCCGGCGGCCTCCTGTACCCCCAGGTCTGGTGCCAGTGTGGTCTGGTCCCACTCGGCTTCTCTCTCCCCGACCTGGGGCCGGGATCTCCCTCAGTGAAGGACGTGGGGCAGCTGCTGGGCCCAACCACTCATCTCAGAGATTTTCACTGGCTGACGTCCACCCTCTTAGAAACTACTGCCGCCTCTGCCTCCTGAATTTGTGAGCGCTGCAGCCTCAGAGAGTGCCAAGGCCCGCCGAGCCCCTGCTCGGTCCCCTTACCTGCATGTTGTTCCAGGCGGCCTCCCCGCGGCCCCGGACACAGGTCTCCAGCCTCAGGGGGGCGCCCAGGGCCCCGTGCTTCGTGTCCGCACACAGCCCTGTGCCCACGTTGCGGATCTGAGAGGGGAAGAGGGAAGGCGTGGATCAGTGAGGTCCCTTGAGGTTGACGGGGACACCAAGGCAGGGAGATGGGCTGAGCTGGGGACTGTCCTCACGAGGCTTGCCCTGGGCCGCTGGGGTGTGCTCGCCTCTCCTGAAAGGACACTCAGCAGGGACGGTCACTACCCAGAGTCAGGCAGGAGAGGTACACTGAGGGGGAGGTGGTCATGGGGGCTCCCTGACTCCACTCCTGGGAACTGGAGCCACCAGGTCCAGGAATCGATTGTGACCCTCATTCCAGGTGATGCAGGGGTGGGGGCCCAGGGACCATACCTCAGAAACCACTAGAAAAGGACATAAAATGTTTGCTGTAGGGTCCTTTTGGCTTTGTTTTGTTTTTTAAAGACAGGGCCTTGGCCGGGCGTGGTGGCGCATGCCTGTAATCCCAGCACTCGGGAGGCTGAGGTAGGAGGATCGTTGCGAGTTCAAGACCAGCCTATGCTACATAAGTGAGCTCAAGGCCAGCCTGAACTGCATAGCTCAAGGCCAGCCTATCTCAAAAAATAAATAAATAAATAAATAAATAAAGACAGGGACTTGCTATGTAGCTCGGGCCGGCCTTGAACGCCCCATCCTGTCTCAGTCTCGCAGTGCTGAGATTACAGGCCTGCTCCTCACGTCTGGCTGGGCTGTGGTCCTGGACTGCTGCCTTCTAGGGCACGTGCACGGCAAGGGGTGGCCAGAATGCAGCCCCAGCCACGCCGTAACGAACAGCAGTGGCCCACATCCCTCAGTGTCAGCAGGAGGGGCTGGGGGTCAGAAGCCCACAGTAGGTGACTTGCTTGGGCACTGGACAGCGCTCGGGCACTTAGGATGGTGTCTCAGCAAGAAGAGTGGCCATGGCCGCGGGGATGGAGGTCATGCATGGGCTCAGCAGCACGGACTCCCACTCACCCAGGCTGATCTGGCCACAGCCACTGCTGAATGCCCGATATGCCAGCAGTGGAGACCACTGAGTCCCCGATGTGCACCATTCCCCGCGGTGATCAACCTGTGACCTGGTTGGTTATATCAGAGCACTTCCATCATGGAAGGGACTGTGCTTTGTCCTCGCTGGCATAGACACGTATTCTGGATATGGATTTGCCTTTGCTGCACGTACTGCTTCTGCCAAACTACCATCTGTGCACTCACAGAATGCCTTATCTGCCATCATGGGATTCCACATAGCATTGCCTCTGACCAAGGAACACCTTTTACAAGAAGTGAGGCAATGGGCCCATGCTCATGGAATTCAGTGGTCTTACCATGTTTCTCACCATCCAGAAGCGGCTGGATTGACAGAAACGCAGAATGGTGTTTTGAAGACACAGTTAAGGTGCCAGCTGGGTGACAACAGCTTGCAGGGCTGGGGCAAGGCTCTGCAAAAGGCTGTATATGCCTTGAATCAGCGTCCACTTTATGGCCCTGTGTCTTCCATGGCCGGGATTCACGAGTCCAGGAACCAAGGGTTGGAAGTAGGGATGGTACAGCTCATCATTGCCAGTGATCCACTAGCAAAATTTCTGCTTCCTGTTGCTATGACCTTATGTTCTGCTGGCTTAGACGTCTTAGTTCCAGAGCGGGGAAGCACAATGACACCTTGAACTGGAAGCTAAGACCGCCCCCTGGTCATTTTGGTCTCCTCATGACTCTGAGGAAACAAGCTGAAAAGGGAATCACAGTGTTGTCAGGGTGACTGACCCAGGTTATCAAGGGGAAACTGGACTATAATTCCACAGTGGAGGAAAGGAAGAATATATGTGGAGAGCAGGAGATCCCCTAGGGTGGCTCTTAGTAGTACCACACTCTGTTATTAAAGTCAGTGGAAAACTGTAACAACCTAACCCAGGTAGGAGGACAAATGGTGCAGAGCCCTCAGGAATGAAGGTGCAGGTCACTCCACCAGGGAAAGAAGCAGGACCTGCTGCGGTGCTTACTGGAGGCCAAGGGAATACAGACTGGGCAGTGGAAGAAGGCAGTTCTAAGTACCATTTACGACCCCATGATGAGCTACAGAAACAAGCATTGTTTTTTTTTTTTTTTTTTTTTTTTTTTTTTTTTTTCTCCGGTACCGGGAACCGAACTCACGACCTTGCGCTTGCCAGGCAGGCGCTTTTTGCCGCTGAGCTAAATCCCCAGCCCCCAGAAACAAGCATTGTAATTTTTTTTTTTGTCTTTTTGAGATAGGGACTTGCTATGCAGTTCAGGCGGTCCTTAAACTCACTCGAATTTGTAACAATCCCCCTGCCTCAGCTGCTGAGATTATAGGCATGCACCACCATGCTCAGCAAAGCATTGTAATCATTCTGTTTCTCCCCTAACATGGTTCTAATGGAATATAATGTCGACAGACTTAACACTGGTTCTTACGGGTTGTTAAACCTGTGTTATAATGTTCAGGTTATGAAACCATGAGAGCAAACGGCATCCTAAGAACACTGGCCTTCTACCGGGGGGAGGAAGTCCGTGTGTTTCTGTTTTTATGCAGGATAGTTACAACGTGTGGGGTGGAATTTGGTGTCTTTGTATCTGGAGACTGGGTTAAGGAATGTGTCTGGTTGTCAAGTTGACAAGGGGTGGATTGGTTAACGACTGTCAACTTGAGTGAGAGAAGCTCAGCTGAGGGCCCACCCTAGGGCTGCTTGTTGTCTGGAGGGTGTGAAGGGGGAATGAAGGACACATCTGCTTCTGTTTCTTCAGAGGAGCTCCAGTCTTCGCCTTCACCTCGGACGTCATCTCCTGGCTTCCGGAGCAGACTCCTCAGCCCTCCATCGCAGACCATCGGCCTCCTCACACAGACTCTCGTGGGACACTGCAGTGAGCTCAGACTTTGGCTGGATCCTTCGGTCTCCAGTGTGCAGACACCCTCTGCTCTCCCTCCCCTGGCTCTGGGCGCCCATTGTGCACCAAGCTTGGAAATTCTCCTACACTTGTAGAGCGTGTGTTGCACCTGTTTCTCTAGTAAGCACAGCGCCAGGTCCTGCGTCACACCACGTCATTCCTGCCCCTGAGTCGTCCCGTCTCCTTTGTCTGAGGGGTGGCTGGGCGTGGCGGCTATGGAAAGGCACCACTTGGGGTCCCGGTGGCTGTGTCTTCCCCAAGCCTGTTCCCAGCTCTGCCTCAGGGAGGCAGGGACAGCGCAGCAGGCCTGATGGGGGGCGCTGAGCTCCTCTGATGCGTGATTTGGTTGGAGGACCCTCATGACTCTGCCTCCAACTTCCTTAGAGCTGTGCTGCAGGCTGAGACTTCCTTCGGCCTCACACGTCCTCTTGTGAATCTCTCGCACATCTCATTCACGTGGCCTCGGCTTCTTGGAACATAAGGTCATAGGAACAGGAAGCAAAAATTTTGCTAGTGGATCACTGGCAATGATGAGCTGTACCATCCCTACTTCCAACCCTTGGTTCCTGGACTCGTGAATCCTGTACCACTGCACTACATACCCACACCTTCTCATTTTTTATTTTGAGACAGGGTCTCGCTAAGTTCCCCTGGTGGAACTCAAACTCTCTACCCTCCCGCCTCAGCCTCCTCCTGTGCTGGGAGTGCAGACATGTGTCACTGTCCCCGGTAAAGTAAATCTGCGTTTAAACCTGGCACTGTGGGCCCCAGGTGTCACTTAGTGGCAGAGTGTGTGCTTGGCATGCATGAGTCTCTAGGTTTGATCCCCAGCACGGCAAAACAAAGACAAAAACAAAAACAAAAACACGAACAAAACAACAAAAAAGCCCAATAACAACAACAAAGATGCCTGGCACTGCATAACATAAAGACGAAAAGTGAAATTCATGCTAATAAAGTTGTAATATTACTGTAGGTAGAATATTACATGGCAAAGTTTTAAAAAACCCTAGCAGGATGAGGATAACGAGAACAGGAAGGCAAAGAGTTTTATATTTGGTGCTCCTGTGCTGAGAGCCGCCACACTCACCTCGCCCCAGGCCGCAGCCGGTGGCTCCACTGGAGGGTAGAACTTGGGCAGGTCCCAGGCGATCTTTGTCATGAACCACTTGAAACTCTTGCAGTTCAGGGAGCTGCGGAGCTTCTTCTGGGCCACCACGTCCCCAGCCGAGAGGTGGCGGTACTCGGGCCGGCGCTGGTAAATGTGCTCGGCATACTCATCCATCCACACTTCCGCCACACGCTTCAGGTTCTGCGGGCAGGACGCGGGGGGAAGGGGTCAGCCTTTCTTATTTACTGGAGATCCTACTAGTCCCACCACATTTTAGGCATTCCAGTCATGGGCTGCATGATGACAGCAGATCAGTGAAGGCCACAGACATGAAGGCGTCCCACGGATTACAATGCTCGGAGACCATGTAGCCAGGCTGTGTGAGTCACTCTGCCATGTAGTACATGGAAAGCCAGAAGATGCAATTGCTGAGCCCAGCCCTGTCCAGTGGTGCCTGACGGTTTCAGTTTATCATTTGCATATGTTTTAAGGGTTTCATGACTTACAGTTGGATAAGGAACTGCTCTTGTTTTGCCTGCCCACCTTTCATGCCCTTCTATTCCAGTGAAAGCTCCTAGTAGTTTCCCTTTGGGGAGCTCCCCCTTGTCTGACTGCCAGTTCATGCAGTGGGGAAAGGCATGTGAGCTAGCCTAGCTAGTGTGAATACAGATGCCCCTGGGTGCAGGGATTGATAACAGAGACCTACACCATCCCAACTGGCTAAAATTATGGGGGAATTGCTCTGTGCCTGCTTGGATTGCTGGGTAAGGTCTGTTGGGTTAGATGTCAGCCATGGCTGCTGGGCCACATGGCAGTCATACGATGAAAACCTATCTGAGGATGAAATCAAACTCAGTGAGTCAGAGAGTGAGGGCCAGATTAAAGAACTCGGTCCTGTAGCACCTGGATCCAGCCACACCTGAAGCCAGAACTACCTCAGACTTTTTAATATTACGAGCCATTACATTCCTTTTTTGCTAAGCCAGTCTGATTTGGGTCTCTGTCATTTTCAGCTGAAACAGTTCTGACCAAGTCACATGGTAAAACTACATGTTGTAACCAAAAGGTATAATTTCATCAGCAGCTGGAATCTCTAATAACTTTGATGATGTTTGAAGGTTGTTGTGACTTATATTACTAAGCACAAAGATAACCAATGGAAAATGATGACACTAATAGTGGTAAGTTGAGGCAGCAGGGGAGGAAACATCCTATTTGTGAACAGACCTGGAGACAGAGGAAGAGTGAATTCTCACATGTAACTGTGATGAAAATTCCTTGTTCCACCTGCAGCATAGACACTGCCCAGCCAGAACTTCCGTCAGTTGACCTCCTAGGGCACACTTTGCACTGTCAGGGTAAATTCCCTGCATGTTGTCAGGAGCCTCCCCACCAACACACACATTTAGCTCTTCTAGCTCTATCAAAAGTGGGCCCCTTCCAATTTTACTCTGAGAGATAAAGCAGAGTTACCAGTTATTCACCCCTAAGGTTCTAGGGCCGGGGTTTGGCAGGGGTATGCAGATGTTTAAATGTCTTCTGCAAGGAGCCTGACAGTAAATATTTTAGGCTTTGGAGACCCGATGTGGTTAGAAAGCAGCCATCCAGGGGCTGGGGATTTAGCTCAGCGGCAAAAGCGCCTGCCTGGCAAGCACAAGGTCGTGAGTTCGGTTCCCGGTACCGGAGAAAAACCAAAAACCAAAAAAAAAAAAAAAAAAAAAAAAAAAAAAAAAAAAAAAGAAAGCAGCCATCCCTATGTGAATGGACGGGTGTGGCTGAGTTCCAGGAACCTTGTACCACGAAGTTCTCTTCTCTTGATCCCCCTCAACTGATCACAGATGTAAAAACCATCCCCAGCTCATATACAAACAGCCTGCAGACTGCTGAGGAAGGGGGAAGGAACTGAATCCCCAGCTGCCCAGTTCTGCTGGCTTTGCGTTTGGGACCAGGACACAACTGACTTTCTGTGCAGCTCCTGGTTCTTCCTGGGGCTGCAGAGCCTACAGTGGCCTCGAAAACAATTCAGGAGCAGCCTCGCACCACCAGGGCCTGCATGGCAAAGGGTGTGTCCAGTTCACAATGGTGCCCGCAGGAGCGGACGCCTGACAGTTCCTGTGTCCCTCTGAAACACAGGGTTTCCTCTCGTTTTCGGGTCCACCCACCCCAGTCCTTCGGCCCACTGTCTGCCTGTCTGCCTGTCTGAATTAACGATGCATTGTGTTATGTTCATCTAGCAGCGCCCCAGAACGAATGTAATTATGAGGTGCGGCAAACGGGTACTGATAAAAGTAAAGCTAAATAAAACAGAGAAACAGCCCAGTCAGAGATCATACTCTTTGAAAGAATAAATTAACAACGCATCACAGTATTCTCTAGGTGGGGCTTAAGAAGCCATTTCTCCAGGTCTTGAACTATTTTACAGTTGACCTCAGGAAAGGACTCATTCATTCTCTCAGACCCTCCCGAGCCAGGGAAAGGACTCAGGCCTCTGGAGGGCTTCGGACACCTCCCCAGCCCATCTCCACGTCCTCCCAGGCCTGAGTCCCATCCCATCTGCGGCCCAGCTGCACCCGGATCACCGAGATGGGCCAGCTCTGTGGAAGAAGTCTCTACTTCTGCCACACCCAGTTTGTGTGCATTTCTGTTACAGCTCCGTAAGCCTTTTTCCCAGAGGCTGAGAAAAGAACATTTTCTTCTTCTGTTTGTGTTTTGGTTTTTGAAACAGGGTCTTGCTATGTAGCCCAGGCTGGCCTTGAACTCTCGGCCATCCTCCTGCCTCAGCCTCCTGGGTGCTGGGATTACAGACGTGCACCACCACGCCTGGTTGAAAAGAAAGATTTGAGCAAGTTTACCACATGGAGCAAGACTGGCTGTCCTGGAGTTGCACACCTGCCTCCCTCCGCCCAGCTCTCCGAGGGCCACCAGGACCCCATCAGACCCCTCGCTGCCGTGTTTCAGCTGCTGTGGTGGAACCCGGCTGCCGGAGCCCTGATCAGACACTCTGCTCCATACCCTGCACGCTCTCTGTGGGCTGCACTGGATGAGGGTGGGGCTGCTGCAGTCGAGGTCAGGCTTGAGGCAGTCTCCTCACTGTCCTGCAGGCTTACACAGACCCCACACAGCACAGGGCGCCAGGGGGAGACCTTTAGGAGGAGGCCTGGAGCTCCACCCAGGTTTCTTCAAGTCAAACCCAAGACTGATTCAGCACGACAGGAGAGGCTGAACTGCCTAAATGCTGAATTCTTACAGGCACTGAAGCGCTTCCCGTCTCGATTGTTCATGCTGACGCCCACGCTAACGCTGGTATTATCAACAGCAGTCACTAAGGAACAATTTTGGACTCCGGCTCGAGTCTGGTCAGGGCTTCGCGTTTCACTCCTCACCCCTGCCGTGCAGATGGCACATCAGGAGGACTGAGGCAAGGCGGTAAGGCGCTTGGCAGGAATTGTATAAACAAATGCTACTACCGTAGCCATCACGGGCCGCACTCATCCGGAAGTCAACAGACAGGAGGCGCTGGCGTTTCTTCATCGGGGGCATTATAAATTGTAAGTGACAACTCTGGAGAGGAAAAGGATGCTTCAGGGTTGGTCTCCATCTCGCTTGTAGCTAGAAGAGTCGCGGGCTTGGGCTCACAAAAAGCTTCGCTGTTTTCCTCTCTGGCATTCTCCGGGAGCCAAGGAATGTTAAGTAGACAAGCGGTTCCAGCCTCACCCGGGCAGGACAGGAAACCGATCCGGGTGGGACCGGTGGCAACGCGCGGGGGGCCGGGAGGCTGTCGCTAGGAATTCCACCACTAGAGCGCGCTGCCGTAGCGCGGTTTCCCTCGTTTCCCTTCAAGCACGGTTCCCGTAGCCCAGGATGCCCTGGAAGCCTGCAGGCCGGGTCTTCACCGGCTGATGCAGGCGGGGTTCCACGGCCTCTCGCCCGCTGGCGATCGCCCCACTCTTTGATTCTCCTTTGTGGGTCCCCTGATTTGTTTTTTTCCCAAGGCACCCGCTGCCCCAGTACCTCGGGCTCACAGATCTCCATTTGGAGCACGGGCGATGACGGCTGCAAATCACTTCAGGGCAGTGAAGTAGTTCGACGCAATAGGTTTTGGCATGAAACGGGGAGGGCGCCGAGGAGAGACATTTGGAGAGAGGTTTCTCCTTCCCCCAGGAACTTTTAAACACTCTGTCTCAGGTTTTCCCAGACGCGCCACACCGGCTGTATTAATATTTATCTAACATGCTTCTTAAACGGACCCGGTCTCTCTTTGCACCCACTTTGGCTTTATCCCAGCTAATATCTGTGAAATTACAAGTCTGCTGCGCTAAACACACGGAAATCAGAATGGTCCTATGGCTGATATCTAAGATAATTTTCATGCCGCCACCATCTCCTTAACTCTTCTGGTGATGTTAAGAGGTAGAAAGAATTAGCCTCCTTTCAACAAGGAAACAGGCTCAGAGGGGTTGTGCAGTCCTCCGGAGGTCACACAGCCCGTGAGTGAGGAAAGCAGGGATCTACGTTCTTTGAGATGGAATTTCACTGGGAGAAAGGGGGTGCATCTTAACATCTCGTGGTCATCAGCCTGGGGCCCCCAGCTGTCTCAGGGGACCTCAGCCACCCTGTCCTCCGCCCCCCAGGAAAGCCACCACCTTACCCGGGCCAGGCTGACGCCAGCAGGGACCTTGTAGGGCACGTACTTCCTGTAGATGTGACCCACTCTGGAGCAGGGGATGTCCTCCATGCGGCCCCCACACATCCACACCTGCAGGGAAGGGATGAAAAGATGAGGTCTCCTCCTCCCAGGTGCCCTCCCCTCGAAGGCCAGGGTCCTCCAGTGTATTCAGAGGGTGGAGCAGCCTGGAATGTCACAGAACCATGGATGGGGGCGGATACGGCGACAGCAGCGGTCACGATAGCTGGCCGCTGACCACTAATGACCACTGCGCCTCAGTTTACAGACGCAGAAACTGAGCAGCCGAGACTCGGTGGAAGCCGCTGGGTTAGTAAGGAGTGAGCTGGGTGGTGCTGCGGGTTGAACCAGGGTCTTGACAGTGACCCTTCACATCCCCAGCCCCTTTAGGTTTTTGAGACACGGTCTCACCAGTTGCCTAGGTTGGACTTGAACTTGAGAGCCTCCTGCCTCAGCCTCAGCTACTGGGATTACACTATGTGCCTGTACAAACCTTAAACTCGGTTTTCGCGGGCTCCAGAGCCTGAGCTCTGAACCATCGTGGATGGCTGATGCGCCTTGTTGAGAATTCTGGCTTCAGAGGCAAGACCACAGGCGGAGAGGGAACGGGGCAGCCTCCAGGTTCTGCGCCATTACTGGCGTGGCTGCAGCCTCTGCAGACTCCCCCTGGGCCTCTGCAGCCAGCCAGGTCTCCCGAGCAGCCCATCTGCCTCCCTGCTCCAGGTCTGGGGGGCCACGCCCTGCTGCTGAGGGGGAGCTGAAGCTTCTCCCGAGTCCCCTCCCGGGGAGGAGCTTCCGAGGAGCTGCTGACTCTGCACACCGCCTAACAGCAGGCTGGGAATTCCTCATCAGTATGTACCGTGCCTTGCAGGGAATCGGGCTCAACAGACCCTCCTTAGCGGGCCTGGCTTCAAATCCCGGCCCAGAGGTGTTTCTCTGAGGCTAGTTTCTTCTTATGTGAAGGACTAAGTGAGAGATGGGGAGAGACTTTGCCGTGAAGTGCTTAGCACAAGGCACGGCTCAGCGTGGTAGGCATGTTAGGTGCTGTAACTATTAATCTGTGGGTGTGACTGGTATTTATGGAGTCTCTGCTGCATGCCACATACTATGCTGGGGACACACAGCAGTGGATAAGGCAGCCCAGGTGCCTGAGCCCACAGGAGGGGAGTGGTCAGGGAGCTTCCTGGGTGGCCCCTGCTGACCCTTGCCTCTAGCACTTGTGGCTTCTAAAGACATCACCTGAGGACTGAGCACCATCCCCTGCAGGATACTGCAGAAACGATGGTCAAACACCCGCTGGCTTGTGCCTGTCCCTCTGGGGTCACTTGATTTGGGGGCACCAGCCGCCATATTGAGGATATTCAAGCAGGCATCCAGGGAGGGCTGGGGTACAGCACAGGGCTAGAGAGTCTGCCTAGCATGCAAAAGGCCCTGGGTTCCACCCCCGGCACCACAGAAGAAAAAAGGCAGTGCATGAGATGTCGGTGGGGGAGCGCGGAGGCCTCCTGCCAAGGGCACTGAAGTGCCCCATCAGAAGCAAGCCCCAGGTGTCTGTGGCCCTGGCTCCTGCCCGGACCACAGCCTCCTGAGAACCAGGCAGAACCATGGGGCGGAGCCACTCTCTAACCCTGATGCAGAGAAGCTTGGAGGAAGTAACTGCTGCGTCTGCTAGGGCGGCCGACTTGGGGCAGTGTCCCCAGAGGCAGCAGGTGGCTCAGGTGAGGGGAGTCTCAGGAGGGACAGCAAGAGGGCTGGGCGCACTTGTGCGCATGTGTGAGGTGCTGCTCTACCCCAGCGGTTAGGGAGACTGGCCGGGCTGGGGTGTCCAGGTGAGACTGCACAGCGGGAAGGCGGAAGTCATGGGGAGGGCCGAGGGCTGGGGGCAGGCCGAGCGGAAAGGCCCGGCTGGGCACCACTGCCATGAGAGCCGGGCACGGGCGGAGGGAAGGCTGCCAGGAGGGGAGCTGGAGCGGTGGGCGGGGCCACAGGGCGGAATTAGGATCTTCACACAGTCCCCAGCGAGGGAGAGGACACGGCCAATGCTGTTTTACCACAGTGGCTCTATGTGGGGTGCGGGGTGCAGGCCGGGGACAGGAAGGCCCGGGAGGCTCTGGCACCGTCCAGCTTCATGGCCAGCATGGTTGTGAGGGGGCAGGAGTAAGGCTGTGGCCGTGGTGGGACCCCACTGGTTCTGGGACATTTTATTACTCTTATTTCTGTTTTTTTTTTTTTTTTTTCCTGGTACCGGGAATTGAACTCACGACCTTGCGCTTGCCAGGCAGGCACTGTGCCACTGAGATAAATCCCTAGCCCTGGTATTTTTTTTTTGGTTTGTTTTTGTTTTTTCTTTATTAGACAACTTATTATTATTTTTTTTTTTTGCGGTACCGGGAATTGAACTGATGACCTCGTGCTTGCCAGGCAGGCGCTTACGCCACTGAGCTATTTCCCCAGCCCTAGTACTCGTATTTCTGTCTTCTCATCTGTAGATAAGGGGCAGGAGTTGGGATACACAACACTAGCTTTGTCAGAGAGAGCCCTTTTCCACTTCAGCTGCTCAGTGGGGTGCTGGGGCCCGGGCTTCCGGTCTTGGTGACTTCAGCGGGCCCAGCTGGGCTGCTCCTCTGCCTCACACCTCAGGCGCCTTGGTCTGCTGCCTCCCGCCGTCTCCACCCTGAGTCTAGGGCTACTCTGTCCTAGCCTTCCAGGCGGGGATGTGCATGGAGCTGCAATTAGCGGAAGTGCTGCCTGGAGAAGTGCAATTGCATTCTGATCCTGGGGGTGCAAAGAGAACCAAGCCAGTCAATAGAACAGAACATTGGGCTTGAGATAATGGGCTTCGAATGGTAGATTAATGTCAAGGCCAAGCCAAGAAGTTTATTTTCAAAGCAGGAGATATTGATCAGGTGCCAGCATCCCATAACAATAACTCTTCCTTGACACAGAGTGACTGATGTGGAAGTGATCCCTTCGTCTGGCGGACGTTGCCCAGGTCGCTGCTGGGCCTTTCAGGTGGGAGGCGCCTTACCCCGCTCTATTTCTGAAAGTCTCCTGGGCAGCGGAAGAGGCCGGCATCCAGCTCCCTTGACTGCGTATTAAACTCGCATTAGCTAAGGAGGCTGCCTCTCCAGCTCTGCCTGCCAGAGGAACCTTCCTTTGTGCAGATGGTGATCAGCCTTCTCTTTGCTGTGACCTCCAGATCTTTGGTCCTGGCCATGCGGGCCAGCAGCCTGATGGGTCCTGAGGAATCAGGGTGACCCTGGCCTCCTGGGAAGTCGGGGGCATCCCAAGTGCCCTTAGATTCTTGAGATGTCTGGGACACTCAGCCCAGAAGCCTCCTTCTCCCTGGACAAGCCACGAGCAGCGCCAGGCGTGGTGCCTGGCCCGGGGAACCTGACGCATGCTGGTTATGTCTACGGCTGAAGGATAAGACCTACCACCAGCTGGAAATCACACAGCTTTTTGTGCTGCAGTCCCGGGTTCCAAATGGGGAACTGAGGCTCAGAGAAAGGAAGCAGTTCTTCACTGAGCTGGCAAAGCTTTCAGCTGAGAAGGAGACTGACAGGGTCAGGCGGGGCAGAGTCACTGGGTACCATTCTTGGTCTGGGTACCCCAGGCCATTGTCCTCTCCCCAGCCAGCAGGAAGAGCCCTGCTGGCAGCAGAGCAGGGAGCAGCAGGACCTCCTCTAACCCAGAAAGCATGCCGAGGGGATGTTTCGGCAGTCCCTCTCTTCGTGGCGTGTGTTGTCTAGGGTCCCTACCCGAACTTCCACCTTCATGGGTGCCGGTGCAGCTGCTCCGGGAGTCACAGGAGTTTCCAAATGTCCTGCGGCTGTTTCTTGATGCCCTTCTCCTCCCCAGTGGAGGAGGCATCTTCTCCGGGAGCACCACGCCGCTAGACAAGTAGAAACCTAATTGCAGAAGCCCGCGCCCCATTCATTTTCATTGCTGCTTTGATTTACTTTATTAGCAAACTTCTTTTGTGTGATGACAGGCTTCATTACGGTGTCTATAAAAGACAATCGCTCGCTCTTATCTCTGAAGCCGAGGAGGGAGGAGAAGAGCTGTGATGTGCGTCAGGAAAACACAAAGGGACCTGAGGGCAGTGTGGGGGGCTGTGCCTCACACAGTGGGGGCCCTGGCCAAGCAGGGGCTGCAGCTCAACCTGGGAGGAAGCGACCAGCCATGGCACAGCCCCTCCCTGCCTTTGCAGCTGGCATCTTTGCAGAGAACCCTGGTGGAGTTCAAATGCTAATCAGCTGCACCCGAGGGAATAATATAATAATTGCCACCAATTAATTATTCAGCCTTAGCTGTGTGCTTAGGAGGCACCCAGGGGCATGGTTCTACACTCAGCCCTCGACTTAGACAGCCTGAAGTCTGATCTAATCCAGGCTCGTAAGCACGTTTTTGTAAACCCAAAAGCCTCGGTTTTCTCATCTGCAAAATGGGAGAAGTTACTGCACCTCAGACCTCCTCAGGTGGTGAGGCTGAACAGAGGTCGGGGGTGTGTGTGCAGGACACCACCGGCTATCTGTGTGAGGTCAGCTGGACCCCGAAAGCTGAGGGGTACTGCACGCAGGCCGGACAGAGCCTGCAAAGGGAAACCCTCGTCAGTTTGGACATATTCATTGTGAACAAGAAGGTACTGATGTAAGAAGTCTCACGGGCATGAGGTGACCCCATCCATTCTAGTTTTGGATGTTCCTACTGGTTACTGGAGCCAGTTGGTTAAAAAAAAAAAAGTAGAACAATTTTATTTTAGTTTTAAAAATGAGTTTACTTCTAAATTAAACCATTTTCAGATAATGTAGGTTTAAGCAAATGTGTGTATAGATTAATACACTAAATATCTGACCATTTCAACACGACGCCTAGGCGTTTACATCCCGGAAATGGGGGGTGGTCGCCTTGCTTTAGGTTTTGACTCGTACTGGGAAACACAGCATCTGGAAGCCGCTCTGCGAGGGAGGGGCTGAGACCAGGGGCCCCCCCAGGGCTGCTCGGCCCACGATGGCAGAACCAGAACGGAACCTGGGCTGGGTCTCCTAGGGCTGGGCGGATCCGCGACC